CTTCTTCGCACATTCAATACTTACTATGAGTCTTGCACGTGCCAATATATGGCACGTGAAGACCAACCGCACAGTGCTCACACAGAAGCACAATGTGCCTCTCTCGCGTTAAAATATGTCTTAAGCACTGACACCACACATGATTACAAGGTCTTCCCCTTTGCTGTTCATTTTCGGATTCTTGGAATTTATTCAGAATACCACGAGTATTTTGCGCGTTGTTATTTTCAAACCCTATGCAAGGGCGATAACTTCTCCTTCAAAATCTTCTCCGTCATGTCTCTGTGTCCAATGCGTGAATTGGTCATTACTACTTTGTCACCATTCTGTATTACTACGTCACTGTTACTATCACTTACTACTGCTACTACGTACTACTCACTTACCACTACCTATTATGACTACGTTACTTTTATTTTGCACTTTTTTCTTTCACCTCATTATTCGCTTTCTTATCGAGCGTTGTTTTTTACTTCTTGTGCATTCACTAATTCATGGTCACAATTTTAAGAAACGTCTCCTTAACGAAGAAATTTATTTCTTAAAAGTTTGGTTACCACTAGATGAGATGCTGGCTGAACAAACTGTGACAACGACATTGGCTCCGATTTGAAACATGATAAAGGATAAAGTATAAAGTCCTCTTACCTGTGAGCTATGCATCTCGCATCCGATTTCACTAAGCATCTTTAGAGGTGATTGAATGGATATCTGGCTTTTGCAATGACGTGTCCTACCGGCGTACCGAATCAATGCTGCTATCCACTTAGACAAGTCCAGCACGAATTTGCCAACCCAGGAAGGATGGCGGCATTGGTGAGCTTGACGCGCGGGATCGACCACGTGTGCATTGCAGCCCAACTCTAACCACTGCGCTGCACGAGCGATTTGTAACACAGCGATTTTGGAATCTCAATCGTTTTATTTACTGCCTATTGTTTTTTAATGGTAGGGTATATTGCAAAATATAACTCCAATGAAGCTGAGATATTAGCAAAACTCCGGACCGCAGGTGATATAACTCCAATGAAGCTGAGATATTGGCAAAACTCCGGACCGCAGGTGATATAACTCCAATGAAGCTGAGATATTGGCAAAGCTTCGGACTGCAGGTGGAGTTATATTTCGCAATATACTCTGCCATTAAAAAAAAAGTAGGCAGTAAATAAAACGATTGAGATTGTGATTATAGCTAAAGCCTCAGCTTAACTAGGTTCGTTGCCGATTTGGGCTCCCCAGATCAATCCCGCTGACGGCAAAACATCGATAGAACTAGCTGAGAGGCAGGTGAAACGAAAGACCCGAATGGTGTGGTGGTGAATGCGTTGCTCCCCGGAAAGGACAATAGCGCTCGTTCGTTCTCCACCGCATACACCTGCGGTCCGGGGTTTTGCCAATATCTCAGCTTTATTGGAGTTATATAGCGATCTTAATTACGACCTTATTTATTGACTAAAGAGATCAGTAGAAGCAGATGAGTTCAGCATGGTAACCAGTAGATGGTGAATGAGTTAACGAGTCGTATATATCACAGCGCATTGACATTTAACGTCTTTCTCCTTTGCTTGTATTAACCCTTGAATAGGGACTACCCTGATAAAAAACAATAGCCAGCTCGTTAGATTATGATTCAGTTTGCTAATCAAAGTGTTGGAATCTCCTAACATTTCCACAAAAACTAAAGTATTCCTAAATTTCACACTCATTTTTTGGAGATCTCGCAGCCGCAGCTTCAACTGTGTTGCTAGACCAGAGATGAAAATTAATGGTTGTTCCTACAGCAACATTTCCATTACGGACGGTAATAGAAGTAAGAGCTACAGCTTATGCAGACACACCTTGAGATCTTACAACGGTGTAGATAGAAAACAGTGTTTTGACAACTCAAAAAAGCTAATCTGAAGAAAGTTCGTAAGGATCTTTGAAAATATAGGATATTGTTGTTGGCTCCACCAAAAGAAGATGAAACTCTTGTCATTTTTATTTTCATAACTTAAAATTGATAACGAAAGGGAATTGCTCTAATCCTTTTGTCCCAATCTGCCCCTTTAGACCGCTGAATTTCTCATCGGAGAAGAATCATGATACATCCTTTTCTCTAAAGTTGATGTTCCAATCAAAAATATGAAGAGAGTCATAGCTCCAGAATAGGGCAATGCTACTGCGTACTTCATTTGTTTCGAAAATCACTAACTTCACGCGCTTCTCGAAATCTACATGATAACTTCACTTCAAGAGGAGATTCCTAGACAACTAGAAAATCTCACTTAAGGTGACATAAGTAGGGTTTCTGCAAGGATTACGATGTGTGAGCCACATTCAAGGCATCGTTGCAGTATTGGAAGTCTACCACCAATACAGTACCATCAATTACTGCTTTCATTGACGGTGAAAAACGGTTCGATATTGTGAAAACAATGATATCCTATCAGCATCCATTGACCAGCCCGTCTGGTGGTTGTGCAAATTGACAGTGGCCAACTGCTGGAAATTCTCAACGAAGAAAGCCTTGCTCATTAAAAACTAAAATGCTCCGAAAAGTGAGGCAGATTTTTCATTGACCAGGGAAGCTACTGTCTGTGTGGGCATGTTGTGAAATTGGTAAATGACTTCAAGAAGGAGTTATGTAGAAGTAAAGCAAAACGGGCACTGACTCAGAAATGAGAGCGAACAGTACACTGGAACAAAACACCATGTGCATCTATCTTTTTGTTTCAGCGATTCTCCCAACACACTATCATTCAGAGGTATTAAAATCACGATGTTGAGAACAATTACACGCTATCCACACCCACAACCCTTGAATGATGTCTTTTGAAATTAACGGGCCCAAACAATGTGGACTGTTTAATCCAGATGTTGAAAGATGTCTTTTCTTAGGAATCCAGCAAAACACAGATCGAAAATAAAACATACCTGCAGGAGTCGGTAGAGAAAAGAAAAAAGTTCAGGAGAAGTAATTCTTCCAAAGACAATTAATTAAATTCATGCAAGTGAGGTATGAAAACAAGCAGGAGAGGCTATTGTTGCAATGACAACCGTTTTTCGTTGCCATATAAAAAGCGATTTAAAGTCTTTAAGGATTTTCATTGTTTTTAGATTAACGGTCAGTTTCAGGCAAAGTCAACTAATTAAGGTTACTTTTAGACAAGGCGTTGAACATCTACGCTTTCTGTCCTTTCGAAATGGAGAAAAAAATTGCGGAAGAAAAGAAAGAGAATAGCAATGTTAAATTTTTTTTACTGCCTACTATGATTTTTCGCGGCATGTGTGACACAACCACAATGATGCTGAGACAACTCCAAAACTCCGAACCATTGGTGTCCACCGTGGGGAATGACCGCGCTATTACCCTTTTCGGTGGTTAGCGCGTTCGCCACCACACATGCAGCTCCTTCATTTCGCCTGTCTCTCAGACTACAGCCTCAGCTTGACTGAGTTCATTACCGATTGGGGCTCTCCAGATCATTGCCGCCGATGGGTGATTGCTGATGGAACTGCTCGATAGAACTGGCTGAGAGACAGGCAGAACGAATGACCCGTATGGTGTGGTGGTGAACGCGTTAGTTCGCGAAAACGGTAATAGTGCGTTCGTTTTCTACCCAGACACCTGCGGTCCGGAACTTTGCAAACATCTCAGCATCATTGTAAAAATGGTTATTATCTATGCTATAAATGCTATAATCTAATCTATATCTAAGCTATATCTAATGCTATAAACGTACCTTAAAAAGAAAAAAAACATTCGGAAGGTTTTCGCAACTATACGAAGTCCTTACAAATATCACCGCATTGCTGCTACCCTGACACCAGTATGCGATCAAATTTCAACTGCAACATGTAGAACACACTCAGTGCTGCCGAATTCTACTAGAAAGAATATGGAGCAAAGGGGCGAAATGTTCTGCGTTTATTACTCCTTGACGGGCCGAGCATGCATTCAAAGCAATTCGCTGCAACGTAGAAGTGATTAAACAGATATTTGGTAAGTACAATAACTTGCAGCCATCAGCCGGTCTTGTAGGAATTTCTCGGCACTAGAGGGCGGTGAGGGTTCACATGCAGCGCTCCATCGAGCCAACGACCATATGCACATTTTAAGGTGACTTTAATCTCTCTGCTACACGCACTTGTTAAAGTATGTAGATGAAAAATTTCGAAAAGTGAGATAAAATCGCATAATAAAGATTTTTAAGCATTAAAGTGCAAGATAAAAAACAATTATCTCTCGTTTTTAACTGAATTGCACAGTCTTTGACTTTTTTGTCGTAGTTTCTGTTTATCTATACAATTCAGTGCATGTGATTGACAACTGGACAAAATTTTATATAAAGCAGAAACTACAAAAAAGCGGTGCAAACAAGCAGCTCAATCAATTTTAGAGGGAAAAATATTTCGTTTAAGATATTTGAAGAGGGAGCGTGAGAAGTAGTGGTCAGAGGTATTTTGCAATACGCATGCAGTCTTTGGCTTATCCCACTTTCTGCGCTATCCAACCTTCGCATTCCTCTGGCAGTGAACTGACACAAGAATTCAAAAAGCCGACTTTCCATAAGCCTCAGCATAATATTGGTATATTTATATACATTTGCTCATATTGATATGCTTACTTATATGATGATGTAAACAAATATAACACAAGAGTTGTTGGAAGGAGGAGAACACTGAATTAATAACGATGACAGGTCTCCATAAATCATTGTCGAAACCTTTACCATTATATTTATCATTTATTTGGTCAAGGTGTAAATGAATGCAGCAGAAAACAACCATGGAATAAGAAGAAAGATAAAACAATAAAACTACAACTGAACATTCTTCAAGTGCGAGAATGGGAAAATGCTAAAAGCTGGGATAATTTACCTTTAAATCTCCTTTAATTTAACCCCTTAAAAATGAAAAATAAGAAGAAGTCACACAACTAATAAAAAATAAGTAATGTACAAATTGAAAATTCGTATAGGAATATAAAATGTTAAAAAGAACAACAAATTGAGAACCTTAGCTCTGGTGATACTCGGCAATGTATTCGCACGGAGCATTTCTCGCTGACCGATACCACGAGCGAATTGAAGTTTATGCATAACTGTTCGTGATAGTGACATTCGTTCCACAAAGGGAGTATCACTACCAATACGATAATCAGGCTTCCAACATGTGGGCGTGGCCTAAAAAGGTGTGGCCATAAGTGGGCGTGGTCGCAGCAAGGGGAATGATAACATCACGTCTGAATAGCTTCGCCTCGTCATCATAAAAAAATGATAATAACGAATTTTTCAGACTTTATTTGGACAAAGGATGATTCCGCTGATCGCCTATCGCTTCAGCACACACAAAGGCCTTGGATTTACCTTCGGCAGACTGGAGACCTACAAGTTATCATTTTAGAATCGTTCGGATAAACATCGGAGTGTGGATTAAGGAACATTATTTTACTATTTGAAATAGGTTTCATTTTCTGGCTCGTTGTATTTGTTCGTTGTTTGCAAAAAATTAATGCAAGACTTTAAGAGAAGTTCGTTCCTTTCTCAATTCTTGGATTTGTTTGAAATAGCACACTCGCCCAACTGCTAAGACATTTTACAAATCCACACCTTTTCCTTAACGCTTATTGAGATTATAACTTGTAAAAAAATGTAGTAAAGAGGTTGAATCGAGGAATACTTATGTCACGTGGCAAAGGCGCGTCCTTCACCCCCACCAACATCACAAGTACAATGGGTGAGCACTATATGCATTAAACCAAAGCCTGCAACTGCTTCCGGCTTTTCGTATAGCTACGACGAACCTTAAGAATTCAGGATTCAAAAACCTGCAAAGAAATTGACGTAGGTTTTGCGATCTACCATGGGAAAACATTTATGTGTGAACTCGTCAACGAATCTAGCTGTTTCCAAATTGGCTAGCAAACGTTGGTGGGCTACTCTCTACTGCGGGATCTAGTGGTCAACCAACATGGTTATTACACCTAATATTGAAGCAAAGCACCTTCTTGTAACGAAATTGAAAAATTCGAAAGAAAATTTCGGATATTTCATTAGTTTCCTGTCATTAATTGGAATCACGTCGCAGTGACTTTTGAAGGGAGCGGATAAAGCCAGTATGCAAACGTCCGAGCTCAAATAAGCACTACAATTTTTTCTGTCACTTTTATTTCATAAACGCCTTACGTGTATCATATCCATAATCCCTCACTTCATCAAGTGACTTGGATAAGTTGCAGTGAAGTCTACATCGGTTTTCAGAATTGCTCTTGGGCCACATTCACTCGAAAGACGGGAGGGGCATGGTACTTTCGCTGTGACATCCATTATTTGTAGTAATTTTTTCAAGAAAATAATCATGAATAGCTGACCTAATCGAGGTAGTCGTGGTCATTATTTGCTGTAGGTGATCCTGAATTAATTCACACTCATTTCTTAGTTATTTATTTATAGTGTGACATTCTGTATAGAATGGACAAAAATTTGTGTTCGTGTGCCTATATAGTTAAACGTGATAATATGGTAACCACTACCAATAACCACTGCCAAGTGGTTGACTCTGCCGTAGTGGTTAGAGGCTCTCAGTAATACTTTTGATGAATTGTGGGATTCTAGGTAGTGACCAGGTACCAGAGATGCCTGGGAGAATAAACACTCTGGCCTTCATATAGGTGGACAGTGCAAGCCATTGTTCAGGCCAAGTATTCTATAAATGGCGTCCACAGTGCCTCATAGAGTAGAACAAATGGCGTTTCTCGAACGGATTGACGAAAGCTTATTACTTTATTTCTTATCCTTTAGCATGATAATAACAGCATATTTATTTCATGCATAAAGATGATGAGATTTAAACGAATGGATATCGTATAAACTAATCCAGCTTTGTGGATTTCAGACAGATTTGCCTACGAAATCGTCTCATTGATACTTCTAAATAATGTTAAGACGGAAACCTGCATTAAAAATATTGGAACTGTGTTAAATATTTATATACATTATGTCGATAACATGACGTCAAGACAGATGAATGTAATCGCTTTTCAACTAGAGCAAGTAGCGTTCAATTCCATGTTAAGGGCAGATTCATTTTGCGCCATAAATTAAATGGGATACTTTTGCATTAAAGATTCGAGCTGGACTAACCAACCCCGTATCTCCTCAGCACGAAGAAATTGGTGGCAAAGTTGCTTGGGAATAAGTTTTCTCGATCGACAAAGGCTAATATCTGCTTTCTTTTAGAAGACCAGGAAAAACGCAAGCCTAACTATATCAGGACTCCAGGAAAAATCTACTCGACCACCACTCAACGAATAATTGTCCTCGAAATTTCTTAGCTTTTGCCCGTGCTCGATTTTTTCTTTGCAGGAAACAAGCCAGTGGCCAAAATTTCAGATAGCAAAGGATTACACAATAACATGAACGACGAGGTGCTTGAAAAAAACAGCTCAGAGAAATAGAATCATTTGTCAGAGGAGGTGCACCGAAATTGTATTCGTTAGAAAATAAACGGGACTCTCATGAGCCCAATCCACTGCATTTGAGCAGTAAGCTCAATCTGCCAAGGAGTGGAGGGCATCATGATTAAAGATTATTTCTGGTATTGAGAACTAGAAAATCATTAGTAATGTAAATAGCTGGAAAACTTTGCGAGTTTGTTTCAAAAACCGACTTTGCTTCAACCTCGTTATGACTACTCAATATATATGCTTACAGTGATAAGCTAAGACAAGGTTGTTACCAAACCTTTATTCGGCTAATGTTTCGACGTCTTAGCTTTTATGATGAAAGTATACATGTTGATTAGTGATACCGAGGTTGAAGGAAAGTCGGTTTATGAAATACTGTCGCACTCTTTTGTTAACTGATAATGACACCGGCTTCTGCACAAGGCATTGTCCCGAAAAAACAAGTTGCTATCATCAGGCAATCACTATTATTAACAACCACCGTCCTGTATAAAAAGCGTCGCCGGGTTAGATAGCCTCATTCGAGTGATGCTCCATTGAAGAAGGTCCGACTCGATACGACGACGAAGACACCACATCGAGAGTACGAATGATGTGGGTTGACATCCACTCTGATCCTCGGCTATGAGGAAGATGAAGATTTCGAAACGATGGCGGAATGTTTGAAGACAACCTCGTTTTAGCTTATAAGTTAAGGAATAAATTTTGAGAGCTTATTTTAGACTTGGTCTAAATCGTGTTTAGATTGCTGAACAAGAAAACGACGCATTCATATTCCAATGCTGAGGTTAAGCGAAAGTCGATCCTGGAAACTATTTCTCAATTTTTTTCTTCCTGCTCAAAGGTATCTGTAGCGGAGCTTTCTAATGGTTTATTTCCTCGCCGTGGGCAAAAAATGGTCGCTGAGAGTAAAACTCTGATGTACTACGAGAGTTTCATTCCGATCAGAGTCATCCAAACTAGGAATGGTTCCGGTATTCACATCTGGAAGCTTAGCCAAGAGTGAACTGTTATGTCCAAGTTGGATGACTACTAATTCATCGCAATAAAGAAATCGAACTTCAGTGCAAGTTTCGAATGTAACAAACAACGAACAGCACAGTGACAACTACGTTACAGCTGCGTCGATGTGAGCGCAGTCGCTTACCGACACCCGAAGTTCAACTTTGAGTAACGTTGAAAATAAGAGAAAACCCTAATACACTCAAGAAAATCTTTTTTCTATAAAACTCGGCATAAATAATTATTATATGTAGTTCTTAGAAACTACCCTTATTGAGCTGAAGCGAGGGTGGTACCAGCTGTTGTTGTTGCCATGGTTTTTTTAAGGTTCGTATTTGCGCTACATCGCCTTCTTCAGAGCCCTATTGTTATGTGACGGCCATCATTCCTGTTCTTTACGTGGAATAACGAGCACACCACATATACTATAACTTTTTATTTACTGCCTATTACAATTTTTCACGGTATTTTGTGAATTACAACCACAATGATGCTGAGATGTTTGCAAAACTCTGAGCCGCAGGTATCTGCGGCGATGATCGAAAACGCTTTTACACTTCCCGAGAGTTAACGTTTTCACCACTACACCATGCGGGTCCTCGGTTTCTCCTTCCTCTCAACTAGTTTTCTATCTGCCAGTGCCATCAGCAGTCACTTATGAATGGGACTGATATCACGACATTTCGCACTGTTCTATTCTAGGAAAGGATTCTGTGGTTTTCAGTGGTTTTGAACACCCATCTTTCACACTGAAAAAATCACGCTCAACGTCAACTCTTTTAAAGGAGTAGTGTTGTTGGTTATGTTGTTCGTATAGAAGTTATTGTTACTTTTTTGGTCTGAGCTTGCTGAAGAGAACCTAGTTTTAACAAAAGAATATAATACAATGGTAGAACATAGTGGTTGAATTAATTTTTCATGTCAGTGCCCTTTCCTTTTTCAAATATGAGGCATGCTCCACTACCTATAATTGTTTGAAATTACCTAAACCTTTTTAATCACAGAAAAAAAGCCGTACTCCTACTGCTAAATTAATAGAGCTAAACACTTTGAATGACATTATTCCTTTCTCGCCGATATGAATTCTACAAGGTAATCGGGGTATATGAAGTAAACGTTGGTTTCATCATTTCCGAAACAGACATCGGTGTGAGAACTTTCATTGTTATTAACACATAAAACTCGAGATGCATTGAGTTCTTGCACTCGATTCGAAATTAATGGCCTACTTCCACTTTCCATCAACTGTATCTTAGCTCATTTCAAACTTTATCAATCATGATAGAAATTATTGCAAGCGATAGATCTTTGTCCATAGAGCTTTCGCAGCCAGGATGCCTATTTTTTCACTGTTTTGCGTCACATTTATATTTCGAAGGAGAACCTTCTTGAAAAGCTGAAATTTCGTCCAGCAGGACGCTGTGGTGTTGTACAGCGTATCGCCAGTTTAGGCGGCTTCTGCAGATGTGCTCAAACGTTGAAAATTTAGAGTTCGCTTTCAGTCTGCTTGAAATCCTATTTCCAGATCCATACAAAGGCTAAAAAGTGTTATATTAAAAGTGTATGCACGGTTCGACGATAAAAAGCCTCTTCTACAAAGTTGTTTAGTTCGAAATATTTCAAGTACTCTAGTGACAGAGAAGCTACTTTCAG